AACTTCAAGGGGCGGGGCCCTTTAACTAAATGATAAAATGGCAGTTTTTTCATACCCTTTCCAACTCATATCAAAGCCTTGTCAGAGAAATCCCTAGCCTGTTGCATATCTTTGGCTGGGAAAAGGTATCCTCTATGTGAAAGGAATTCCAGTGGATCAACAGAGAGCAAACACTACATAGATTGAAATTGAAACCGAAACCATGTAATGGTTCATAACCACATTCATGTATTTTAAACCAAGTAAGTGACAGGCTTCCTCCTGTCTCGGCAGATACCTCTCCCTGACAGAGAATCCCCAGGAAATAATAAAAAAAAGTGAGTTCTGATGCCTCTCTCGGGTAACTTGTACGCACTTACCTTCTTGTCAACGAGTTTAAATGGAATCTTTTTCTGCGGATCTAACGCAACAGGTCTGTTCTTCTTTCCATTTCCTTGCTTTCTAAGAAAGAAAGTTACCACTCCAAACGCCATAGTGACTATGACGACACCAGCAGCGACAAAGACAGGTTTCTGGAAAGCAATAAGACAATATTATAAAGTAGCAACCAAATGCTGGAATGCTCAGGCAGACCTGTATGTTGGGTAACTCCAGACAGTTGCAAATCAAACTTACGCCTCAAGGAAAAGGAATACGGCTTGGAAAAGGAAAAAAATACTAAACAAAAAAGCCTATGGATTCCTTATTAGGTAGTGCTTACCATTAATCGATCGTCCATGATTTAAAACTCACGCCGAGCTGATCCAAACCCGCAAAGACAACACTCCCAAGAACTAGCATGTTGTAAGATCCCGTGATCTGTCCCTTGAGTTGTCGAAGAGACTTATGGGTATTTCCTCTTAGGCACGAGAACTGCCAGGAGAGAGACATTTGAAGAGATCTCGATCTAGGAATATATATTTTTTTACTTTGGCACCTCCGACATGGGTGAGCAACTTGTATGGGCCTGCAAGAATGGAGATCTTGATCAAGTGAAAGATATCATGGAGAAACCGGTGAGAAAAACTGAGCAAGTGAACGATAATACTTCGTTGTCTATGCTTGTGGGTGTGATGTCCGATTCCAAATGGTCCCAATTTCTTGCTTTGGCTGGTGTGCAAAACGTCAAAGCTTTCTAGAAAATGCTACGCATTGAAAACAGTATTGATCTGAAAATAAGTATCTTCCGGTGAATCTCACCCTCTACATCTGGGCAATTTGTGAAATTTTTGTAGAAAATTGTAATGTGCAAGGTTTGCTAGGCTTTCGGATTATTGCAGATTATTGCCGTCTTGTTTTGCTTCTCGAATTTCGCAAGGTTTCTTGATCTCTATAGTTACGTATTCGATTCCTTTAAAACACTACAACTGGTTCTAAGGGAACTTGCTACAATTGTAGGGACGTAGTTTCAGTTTTGTATACGTTCTGGAGCTTTTGTTAGAAATTTAGACATCAATCTTGTCTGGATACAGTACCATTAAACATGTATGCAAATGTTTTTTGGTAACGAAACTAACATGTGCATCGCTTGTACTTGAACCACGTAAAGTATTTATTGAAGCAAAGTTATCTTTTATCAGAATGTGCCATTAGTTACAAATATCTTAACACCTTAAGCAATGCGATTCGAAGACAAGGAGTTCAGACTGCTTTCAGAATTTTTTTACTTTCAGTATTATTACATTGAAGTTTATTGGTGTATGTAATGTGACTTCAAAGACACGTCGCATATTGTTTAATTATTTACAATCTTCTATGAACTGGAGTGTTTTTCAAACATAACTTTCTGAAGGATAGACAAATTGTTTGGATGTGAAGGTAACATTTTTTGTTTATGTTGAGAAATGTCTTAGGCAGAAATTGTACACAAGCTCTGATAAGATAAATGAATACAATACAACAATTTATGAACTATGAACCCTATTTGCATAAACTGTTGTGACTGAAGTTTAATTTTCATAAATAGAAAAATTAAATGATTTGAAAAAGAAAATTTTCAAAACAGAAACAAATCTACACAGTTTCCAGATTATAGGGAGTTTGGATAAAATGGCTTTTGTACATAAGCCACAGCCTGAGAGATGAAAAATGTGCATCTAGGTACATCAGTGGCACTGCTTACAATGGAAATTGCAATTGTTTGGGTGTAAAGGGTTTACTAAGCCTGCATTGTAGTACAAATGAAATAGCTAATGCGAAAGAAGTATCAAAAGTCATGAAAACCCTTGACTATAATTTGCTTTGTACAACTGTGTCAAATTCTCCCAAAACCCATATGTAGAGACAAAGCTTTGAGAACACTAAAATTTCCACATCACTTTCAAGAAACACAGACATTTTTCCTAATATAGACAACTCTCCAATACAGACACATGCTAAATAAATGTAATATAGACAGTTTCCTCCATGTCAACTAAATTCTTAGATTTTTTTCTCTAAAAGAAAGCCTCTATATTACTCCCCTTGCTGCTTCACAGTTTGCTCAGGTGCTCCCCAACAAAACTGCCAGCTATGCTTACTAGTTATTACAACCTTGCATGAAAAACTGCCTATTTATTCCACAAAAAATCCACAAGGATGGTTGAGTAAATTCTTCAGTAGTGTCTATTTTATTATAAAACAGGTATGGGGTTTAAATATTCATAATACTTTTATTTTTAAGGGTTTTGACGTGAATGCAGAAATACTGAATGGAAGAAGTGGGATACATTTTGCTGCAGATTATGGACAAAGTAATGTAATTGAGTATCTTCTTTCGAAAGGAGCAGACATAAATGTGAGTTTTCCTATCAATTTTGTTACTCTCAGTCTTACAAAAGCCTGTTTAAGTAAAGGGTCAGTTCTGAATTTAAAAAATTTACCCTTTACACCCTAACATCCATATGCAAGTTCTCCTTACTGTTCTTTTGTATACATTTTATATGGTGTTTGTAAGGAGAAGTTGTCTAACAATCAAGAGCTTCTTGAGTTTCTGATCATTTCCTTTATTCTCATGGACTTAATGTTTGATTTAGGGGTGATACTGTGGGGAGAAATGAGATGCTTATCACTCTGAGGAGTTAGAGGGTTAAACAGTTGTGAAGTATTGGATATTATCCAATGGCAGTGTATTAAAAAAGCATCTGTTGGTTACTCATCAACTCTGCACTGATCATGTTGTACTCATTTCTTATTCTGTAATATCACTTTTAGTTCCCTTTCAACCTGAGAACCTGCCTTTGTCATAATTCACCCACCCTCTCCACCCATGAGCTGCATTAGGGGAGAAATGGCCTTTATTTTACCTTCCTCTTGATGTAGCTTTGCTTGCTCTGGCAAACTATAAGGATGATTTTGTTTGCATTTGTATGATTGCTGTTATTTAGTACTTAGGGTTATGTTGAAGAGTTGGTAGAGTTCAATTTGGGTCTCTTATCATACATTCAAGTGAAAAGATCCTGGATTACTTATCCTGAACAACAGTGTATTTTAGGTAGCTTTTTCCATATGAGTCATATGAACTAATGGTATTACTTATCTATATCAAAGCGTGCAGACAAATATGGAATCACTCCTCTGTTAGCAAGTATATATGAAAGTAACACAGACTGCGTCAAGTTACTACTTGAAAAGGTAAGAGAACTCTGCAAGGGCAAGAGTTTCCTCTTGTAATCAATGCATCCAAAAACCAAGATTGATGAGGGCCATTAATCATATTTACACAACCCACTGACAAAATATTCTAATCAACAATAAAAAGAGGGTTGGCCTCAAAAATTTGTATTCAGAGCAATTTTTAATTAAATATTGAAATTATTCCAGAATTGCTCTGGTTTTACTTAACTTCACTTCATGATTGATCCAGAAAACTTGTACCACTCTTTCAACCAATCAGATGATTATTAAACAAAAAGCAATCACACCTTAGTCTGTTCACATTTTCCAATGCATCAAGTAGTTTGCTTGTTTTTGTGGCCACATTTGGATGCAATATCACCTTAGAGTGCTGACAGCATCTCAAGAGATAATCACAAAATTTTCTTTCACCTTGCCCAATATTATGAGCTTCATTACAATTCAATTCTACAGTTATGACCCACTGTGCATTTTTCAATCCAGGGTGCTGATAAGACTTTGAAGGCTCCAGATGGTAGCCCTTATATTGAATGTGCAGAGACAGATGAGATTAAAAGTCTTCTCATGTAGATTGCCAATAAAAAAGGTAAGTCTCTCTCCTTTTTTTTCTCCCCCTTTCTAGTGACCTCCAGTTGGCCCCTTAGACTCTGCTTCAAGAGATTTGGTTGCGTGACCCTGGTGGCTCAATGTTCTGTGTTCTTAGGAAAAACATGTCACTAATACAATGCTTCACTCCACCTCAGGAGGAGAAGTACATACTGATGAATTGTTTGGAGAATATGATGAAATGCCAGGAGTAACCCTGCAACCTTGCAGTGCACTAGCATCTCATTCAGTGGTATTTCCTCTCTCCTAGTAACATCTGTTTCTTTTCCTTCTCCAACAGAGACAATGGCTGCCAGAAGAATCAATAGTAATGATAGTAATTTCTTTCCGTGAAGCTAGAGGAAGAAGCCTACAAGTTTCGATTGGTCATTGATAACAGAATGAAGCATTTTTGTACAAAGATAAAACTAAACATGGACAAAAACCTAGTTAATAGCTTTTAGAATTTGACTTTTAAGTGTTTTATTATTACTGAGTTGTCACAATGAAATTTGTTGGATTGTATTAAAGGCTCTAAGCAATCTGTTTAATTTCTGACCTTGCCTGTTGTGTTGTAATCCAGGTTGTCACTACACAAGTCTAGAGTCACAAATTTGCTGGTCCTCTCTCAAGATCAAATTACTTAAGTAGATATGGGGTATAGATATATTGATGTTCCCTCTCAATGGGGTATGTGTTCTACCTCCTTGTGCTAGTGCTTGATCTTTGAAATTTACTGTTTCCTTTTGTTTAAAATTTATCACACTGTGGTAATGCTGTCTTGTAGGCCAATAAATACTGCAAGTTTTGATAAGATTGTCTTCCTAATCAAGTTTTTTCAAACATGTTCAAAGGGGTATCTGGAAGTGCCTACAATTAGGCACTGTGCTTTGCAAAACTTCATTATGTTGGTTAGTACATAATTCCTCACAGTGAATCAAAACTCAGGGGACTCAGTGTTCAGTGAGCCCACTGGGCCTGAATGGCCAGCAGTTCTGACCAGCCTTGGTTGTCGTTGTGTTTGTGTTGTAGAATATCCCAATTGCCAGTTGAAGTGATGTTATGGTAACTACTGCCAATCTGATCTCACTGGTTGACCTTTGAAAGGCCACTACACTATTAAAGTGGTCTTGAATTAAATTCAGTTAACTGTTTAAACTGACGACTTAGCAAGTTAGAGGTTCATAATTAGTCAAAAGGTAGCTTCAGGATAAGCGTAATTTTTTTAATACTTTGGCCTTTCCCTGATGAGCTCAAGATGTTGGTCACGCCCAAGTGGAAGAGCGGGAAATATGTCTTTTCTGTGAGAGTACTGCAGTAAACGACAGCAATAGTAAAGTTTTTGTACCACCATGGAGTGAATGAATTTTTGTCCACAGAGTGAGGCAGACAGTTTCTTGTTTACAAAAGTAAGTTGGACTTGAAACCGGTCAACGGCTCTATGAAGTCCCCCCCCTCCCCAAAACTGAAAGATTGAAAGATCGCCTGCTGTAGTACCTCTGATTGAGCGGCGAGAACTTCTTGTACAAGACAGAAAGTATTGATAAAAAGAAGTTATAACTAAAAAACATATTACATTGATATTCTCTCCTACCCCTTTTTAAAGTGGAATTAAATGCAGGTAAACTCAAT